ATATTTATCACTGATAATATTGATACAGTCTAATTTCACACGTTAAGACTATTAAAATTCCATAAAAATATCGACATTGTTCATTACTTTTTACAAAACTCCACAAAAACATCACATCGCACTTTAGAAAAACCATTGACGCAAGTGCAAATATGGTAATTGTTGGGATAACACATTTAAAGTTTTCAACTAAAATGGTAAATAAAATGTATAATAAATTAAAATATAATCATTTATATGTCGAGATAGTTTCTTTAAAATACTATTTAATTATATTTTTAGTATTTTTACAAATCTACCTTCTTGAAAACCACTAAATTACATTGTTTCCTCAAAGATTAATTTTTTCCATTTCGGACCTGAGGAAAATGCGTATTAAAGAAAAAAAGTTATGCATTTTTTATTTCGTTAAAAATAAATTATAATAAAATTAAAAGGTAATACCTGATACTAAATTATAAAAACCAAGAATTATAAAAGTGTTCAAATTTTGAAACAATTTTAAGCTCAAAAAGAGCAAGTCTTATTTTTAAATTCCAAAATTAGTTTTTTAATTGTAGATCTACTTCATTGTTGGGTTAACAATTATGTTTTTATTTTTTCATAAAGAGTGACGTTTTAAGAATTGAAAGGGTCGCTATAGACATTGAGACTATATCCTTGTTGCATCAGCGACATAAGGGACACAATAGATCTTTCTGATCGCAGTGTACCTATTAATACTCCATACCTAACATAGGAATAATGTAGGATTAATAGTTTAGTACCTAAGAATTTTGCACTTATGTCAATGCTTCTCCGGAGGTATGACATTTTAAACATTTTACAATATTTTTCTAATTTTAATTAGATTATTTATAAAATTGTGTTTCGGTAAATTACTGACATCTAGGCAACCAATATTACTACTTTATTGTATTGTTTGTTACATATGTATCAGTTTATTGACAAATAGAACATAATATTAATTATTTATTCTTAACGACTTCTAGTGTGTTTATATGACGCATTAAGTTATTTAGTTTTTAAAAAGTGGGTTAATTTATCGTGCATTATGTTTTAATTATTTTGTGCTCATTTAGAAAGGAAAAGAATGAAAATGGAATTAAAACCTCCAGAACTTCTAAACACAAAACTAAACTTTGCAACAGAGGTGAAGTACTTAGGTCTCACCTTTGACAGCAAGTATGGAACTCGCATTTAGGAAACAGAGTCAAAAGAGCATACAATGCTTATGAACAATGCCGCCGAACCGTGGTACACACATGGGGTTTCTCCCCCAAAGTCGTCGCATGGACTTACACGGCTATCATAAGACCTATGCTAACATATGGTGCAGTTGTCTCGGTACCAAAAACCCAAAAATTAACAGCTATCCGTAAATTAGAACAAATTCAAAAAACAGCATGTCTCAACATAACAGGAGCCATAAAAACAACACCGACCAGAGCAATGGAAGTCATTCTTTGTCTTACTCCCCTTGGTATTTACATCAAGGAAATTGCTCTGACGATAATGACACGCCTCCACACGGTTGGAATAGAACCTGATGTAGGATCTGGTGAGGCTAGACGTGACTTTTGGCAGGAGGATATATATCTTTCGTAAGCCATATAAAGTTGTAACAGAACAAATAGAAGAGTCGGAAGTGGCAGGTACGATTCATATCTACACCGGCGGTTCTAAAACAAAACAAGGCTCTGGATGTGGAATGTACTTCAGATCCTTAAACCTTAACATAAAATGGGCTCTGAGAAATAGTGCCAGTGTAGTTTAAACAGAGTTTACCGGGATTCTCATAACAGCAAAAGAAATCATCAGAAACAGTATCACTGGAAGGAACATGCTCATCTATACAGATAGCAGACAAGCACTACCCACCCTGAACAGACCACCAATTTATTTATTTATTCAGGGTTAGTACTATAATGTCACGAAGTTTTGGCCGAAGTATCCATCAACAACGTGGTCACCTTAAGATGGATCCAAGGATTACGCCACATCAAAAGGTAACCGTCTTGCTGATTCACTAGCCAAGAAAGCAGCCAACCAAATACTTTTTGGACCTGACCCTTCCATTGGCCTGACAAAGTTGGTAGTGACAGACCTAATTAAAGAACATTCCCTCGTAAAATTCAAGGAAAGATAGGATAAAACAAGAAACTGCAGAGTTGCCAGGGAGCTTTTAAGTTATCCTGACAATACTGCAGCAAACAAATACTTGACTATGACTAGACAGAATCTGCGCCTAGTCACAGGCATTCTGCCGGGTCATTTCCAAGTACGGAAGCATCTCCGTATCATGGGGCTGTCAGAATCCGCACTCTGCAGAGGGTGCGAACAAGAAGATGAGACTATCGAGCATATCCTCTACGATTGCTCTACACTCCTATTTATTAGAAGACTTGTGTTCGGCGAGTATCGGCTAACACCGCACCTCTTGGTTGTCCTTAACGATTGAATTTTCGGTAGGGGGCAGAAGACGCATGACAATTAAAAAACTGTTAATAAACATTTTGGTGAGAATAACATAAGGTAACTTTTGACCACTATTCCAAATCGAAAATTCAAATTTCGATTTTCAATTTTTTTTTTTAATTTTGAGTTGTGGTAGGGGACAGAAGATGCATGAAAATCAAAAAACTGTAAATAAACATTTTGGTGAGGATAACATAAGGTAACTTTTGGGCACTATTCCAAATCGAAAAATCAAATTCAGATTTTCAATTTTTTTGAGTTGCGGTAGGGGGCAGAAGACGCATGATAATAAAAAAACGGTAAATAAACATGTTAGTTGCAATAAAAAGTGGCAACTTTTAGTCACTATTCCAAATCGAAAATCTAAATTTTGATTTTCAAATTTTTTTGAAAATTTTGAGTTGCAGTAGGGGGCAGAAGATGCATAGAAATCAAAAAACTGTTAATAAACATTTCGGTTGGGATAACATAAGGCAGCTTTTAGGCACTATTCCAAAACAAAATTTCAAATTCTTCTAAAAAGTCCGTTTTACGGCCCACCCTACTGTAGGCTGACTCACGAGCTAGGAGGTGCCTATCATCTTAGGAGGATGCACATTAGGCCTAGTGAGGCCTAAGTGCCGTGGGTGTAACCTACCTTCCACACGTTACAGATACAGAAGGCACAAAAAATATTACTAGGTCGTAAGTTTATCCAAATTCAACCTATCCTTCTTTGCTATACACTTTCAATAATAAGGTATATTATTGATTTTAAAACCAGTTTTATAATGTTTAACATAGGCTTTGTTTGAAGCCAGTATGTACGAACTTTTTACAATTGTAATCTTCATGGGCCTTTCAAATAGTTTTTGTATTTAGCTAGTTCATTCCTAGATTGTGGATTGTATGCATAATGACTGAAAAACGTCTATATATCTAAATCACATAAATTTGTCTAGGAACAACTTGTGAGTGATAAGGAAATTTTTATATTTTATAAGACTTTATAGATATATTAATTTAAAAACAAGGCAAGAATTAATTATAAAAGTTTCAAAGGTGATATTGTAAATAAAAAAAAAAAGAGATAAAATTGGTAAGTGGAGTGTCTATTTTTAAAGAAATATATGGAAATCTCATAATCAAATTTAGGCATTTTATAGATGTCTTTTTTATAAATTGAATAACCTATTTTTTATCTTCTGGAGCAATGTTGGTGTAACAACTTGAATTTTTTAATCCAGTATGTGTGCAAATTATTATAATTATAAATTACTTCTAGACTCATTCTTTCACTATCTTCAGTAGGGAGTAAATTTTCCCTAAAAAGAATTAAAAAATATTTACAATATAATCATTATATAAAAATAATTCATCTCATTGTTAATTTTCAAAAGATATAGGTAGGTAACTCTTTGGAATAGTTTATATTTTCATAAAATGTTTTCTTTCCAGGGAACACTAAGATTTATTTTACTTTGTCAAGGAGGATACAATATAGCATTAATTTTTTATTTATTTAATCTTTGAGTTTAAAATATATGAATAATTTGTATTAGGTTTTACATAATATTATTATAACTTACTTGTATATAACTTACATCAAGAGGAATTTAATAAAATAGGAATTACTTCCAGCTTTAAATTCGTCTATACCGAAGGAATTGATAACAAAATCATAATTTATAAAAATTTTCCAATATATTTTAGTGTTTTTGTTATTTTTATCAACTTCAACCTTTCCTAAATCTAGGTTTTGAATCGAAAATTCCATCTCTTTAAGGTTTGTTGGAAATCTGCATAAAAGTACAATTTGCACCGCCAATGTTTTTTTATTTTACTCACCTTTGAAATGACGTGGAACTTCTCAAAATGTATGTTTTACGGCAAACAAAACATTAAATAGTAATTTTTAGAATTACAACTAACAAAATTTGTTAAAAACATACTAAAAATTCCAAAAACTTTAAAAATATACCCTGGGAATATAAAATCACAAAATTTACTCACAACTATTAACAAGCACTTGGGAACTGTCAGTTTTATTTGTATGAATCACATCAAAGCGAAAATAATAGAAAAAGTGTTTATACTGGCTTCAAAACAAATCCAGATCATTAGTTAACTATGTTTCATTTAAATATCTAAGTATAAATCTTTAACAATGCTAGTTATACATAGATAATTAGATGTAATTTAATGTAATTTAACGTAATTTAAATGGAAGAGTGCATTCGAGAGCATACAATATGGTGACGTTTTTTGAGCATACTGAAAAACTAACATGTGTCGTTTTTTCTAAACAATCTTCAATTTTTAATTTTATTTGTAATTAAATCAAAATACTTTTATAATCGTTTGTATACAGGGTGTTCCCAAAAATTGGGACATAGCTTAACTATAGACTCCTGGAACAAAAATACCATGATTTAACCCAACTTATCTATATCCAAAATAATCTGGTTAAGACGGTATAAGACGTGAGAGTTAAAAAAAAAATCTGTATGATTATAAATATTTAAATTTTGTAAAATTTGTAGATGGTCCCATATGGAGTTAGAAGGACTTTAGATTGGATAAATACACAATATAATAAGCCTGATATACTTATAACAGAAATGGGAATGGCTGACGACGGCACATCTATAAATGACGATGAGAGAATTAAATTTTTTACGGTAAGCATTAATTGATTTATCCGTTTTATTAAAGGTTAGGGGAGAGGGGGACACCTTTCAACACTTTTTTAGTTGGAATTTTTTATCTTAAAATAATAGATAGTAAAAGGGCGATTTAGCGATTTAGTGATACTGTTATATTTTGTATATCAATTGATAATCGGAAATTTTTATAAAATCTATTCTTTAGAGATTACATAGAATTATCAATATTTTTGGGCAGATTGTTGAATGGTGCCCCACAACATTGAGTGTAATGCAATTTAACACAACTTTTTACAAAAATAAAGTTATTTATTCTTACAGAAAAGTGTCTTAGAACATAAGTAACTTAAAATACGTTAAATATTTATCGAAAATTAAACGAAGACAAGGACAATTTAAACGAAATTAAGGATTGTGTTCTTTCCGTGCTCTTTAACTGTGAAAGAGATGGCAATTTGCCAACCACATCTCCAATTTCTACAGTAGAAATATCGTCAGTTTCAGAAAAATAAAATTTTAAACCTTTCTTTCTCATGTACTTGACTTCTAAGTCACATCTGGACTTTTTCAAAATTCGAGTATCATAGTGCAGTTTTTTGGTACAAAATTTTTTAACTATAAAATCACCTATATACAAGTTTTCAAATACAACTTCATAATCATCTTCCGACCGTTCTTCTTCCAAATCCCATCATGAATTGAAATATACTCATCTGAACTGGATGTTTCTTTTTTGTTGAAGACTTTCTTTGTAACTTTCACTTTTTTCTGGTCTTTTGCTTCTAATGCCTCTTCCAAGGCTTCTTTCTCTAGGGTTTCTGTACAAATTTTAGATCGGCCTCTCTTTCTGCCACGTAGATTTTCATTTCTTGGAGGTGCTTTTGAATAGGGTCTCATAGTTTCAACAGGTGGAGTAGGCAAGCTGTTCGATGAAAGGTCTTGTGGATTATCGATGCTATCTCTGCTGTTTGACGGTAATAAAGCATTTCCAGGTACTAACTATTGTGGCTGGGGATGTGGCACATCCATGTTGAACGGAGAATTTACATCAGGCCTATCAGTAACCGTAGCACAATCAAAGTTTTCTTCGGTAAATGCGTTATGATCAAATGGATATATGCCCGGTTTTTGAAATCCAGCAATAATATTTTTCATAATAAAGGAATTTTGGAATGCTTTTTCAGGCAGCTCAGCAATATTGTGAATGGTTATTATCTTGCCTGGATGCGAACGCATCCAATTATTTTGTGCAACTTTATATTTCGCCTTAAAGGGTCCCATTACAGATGCATCTAAACAGTTGTAGTCCATGTGTACAATGAGGTGGAAAAGTTACCATCACAATTCCATGATCTTTCGCATACACTACAGCATCCAAAGAGCAGTGACTCTCGTGATTATCGAGAAGTAGCAATATGATATCTTATTTATTGCATTTTGTGCAGGTTACTAAGTGCTTTAGAGTTTTTGGAACAAAGGCGCGGTTATCCATCCACTAGTTGGGCTATTAACTAACCCGAGACTTCCTGGTGGCGCCCCAATCATAAATGTATCGTCAAACCTTGCCCTGGGAAAAATGTATTTCCCGACGCACTGACAATTCCAACCATTGTAACAAGTGTTTCTCGCTCTCCTGAAACCGCTTGTCCTACCTGTTTAACTCCTTTTTCTGCAATAACATTGGGCGCTTGTACAAAAGTCATTACACCAATCTCGTCTAGTTTAAATATTCTCTGAAGAGCTCTGCTATAATTTTCGTAAAATTCCGTGACATTTGTTTTGTTTAAACTCGTACTCCTCGTGTTTTCTGGCTTGCGCAATGACAGTTGTTCGTGTCTTTTCATAAAGCCCTTTACCCAGTCGGTTTCTGTTAATTCATTCTCTTTCCATTTTTCAGGAAATTTTCTATGTAATTTTAACGCATAAGCCAATGTCTGCAATACTTTGTACTTTAGTCCATAATTCATTCGAGAGCATTTAAGCATATATAAGACCAGTTGCTGTTTTTGTTCATTCGTAAACACCTGTCTGAAGGTATGCTTCGAGGAAAAATGCTCGCGATTTGGTGTCTATAGATTCTTTAGTAGATAATCTAGTGCAGTGTGACCTACTTCGAAAGATTCAGCAGCTTTTCTTAGAGATAGTTATTTCTTCCTCACACATTCCATTGCTTTCTGCATATCTTCTTCACTGAATTCCGGTTTTGTTCGCTTTTGTACATAATTTCTGACCATTGTGTTAAGTATATGCAAAGATCTGTAAACAAGAAAGATGGTGTTAGTTAAATCCCCGCATTTATTGTTTTCGTTAAACCTTAACTAAGTGTTAATACATAATATGGGGCACTTTTGAACACTGTTCAAATGTTCTCTAAGTATTTTGTTCAATTGTGTCCCATACATACAAAAAACAAATAATTATTATAAAATAAATCTATGAAAACTAACCTGTCTAAATTCAAAAGTACCTTACTTCTTGACACCTTAACATACCACAAAAACGATATCACTTTTAAATTATCAGAATTTTAGTTTTAATTTAAACTTTTAACCACGTGCGATGTTATAATTTATTTAGGTAAATCATATATCCGATCTAAGACGCAAACGACCGGCAACTGGTCAGCGCAACGAACACAGTGTTGTTCTGGAGCCAAAAAAAAACCGTAATAGACAGGCGCACTAAAACGTAATGAATTTTGGTAAAAGGTAATAGATTTCAGTAAAAGGTAATAAATGTCATTTTATGATCTGCATTGGGATTCTCATCTTTCAATACGGCACGTGTTGAGACGACTATCTTCGTTCTAAAGAATGCGATTTATATGTAATGTCTTTCTCTCTCTCTCTCTCTCTCTCTCTCTATTTGATTCGTTACGTGTTTGACTACGCTCATAAGAATCCCTGTTCAGATCCTTTACATTTTGGCGCATGGGTACATTTCAAAATTTACTTTTTTCAAAAGTCACAAAAAAATCCGTCAATTGGATTGTTCCAGGCCCAATCCAAGTTTAAGCATGCGCGATTTAAAGATAGTGATATTTTTAAATTGCGCTCATGGACATGTCAAAATTGATTGTGGATGAGGGATACTTTACTAAGGACCAATTCCACCGTTGCGTTAAATGAAGTTTAAATTACTAAGCGAAGCTTAAAATGACAATGTTAATGTAAAAAATGTCATTTTAAACTTTGATTAATAATTTAAACTTCGTTTAACACAACGGTGGAATCGACCAAAAGACATTTTTCTTGAATGAATAGTAATAGATTTTATAAAAACATAATAACGTTAAATTTAAACCAAAAAAGTAATATATTTATTACGAAAGAATTAACGTGAACAACCCTGAACGAACACGGTTTGTCGTAGTGCTTTTAGACTTTGTTGCCAAACTGGACTTTTATAAAAATTCAGTACAGATCTTTTTTTAAATACATTGTTCAATAGTGCCCCAGTTCTAAGGTACTATTTTCAGTACAATAAAAAATCTTAACTAACTTATAGATGCGTAAAAAACAGTATTTGCAGTATCACGTGTATAAAAATGGAAAATATGGAGGAAATACCAATAATTACGCCAGTAGAATACAATTGCACATTGTACCAAAGTAAAGATTAATGATGTAAGTAATACTGCAAAAGGATGATTTTAAACCGTATTTTATATATAAAAGCAAGAGGACAGCACGTAAAATTGAAGACAAATATACTGCGTCTTATGAGAGACTGGATTTTCACACAAAATTTTGCGAAAAACCTAATATTGTTTTCAAATGAACTAGTTTTTTAAAGCGATACTTTTACTATATTATGAAGATGATTCTAGGAGTATCATAAATTTGGTAAAGAATTAGGACAATGAAGATTATTTAAAAGAACAACTGATTTTTTAAATTTAGTATATAGAAATTTTTTAAACTTGCAATCCATAATATCTGTTTTCGGCGATTCAAACCTATTGAAAACTTAATACTCATTAGAAAATTAATTCTGGTAATATTTAGCAGCTCGTCTCTTGCAACAATATGGGACAACTCTTATCAAACAGATGAAGTTATTTATAACATCAGCTGGCACACGAAGCCATTAGGAAATAACTAGGAGAACATTCCTCAACACTGGCTGGGAACTTCATATTACTTCCCATGGGATTTATGATTTTTTGGTTTATGTGGGTAATTTATATCACCAAATATGTTTAATGTTTTGGTTTTGATCCACTTCTATCTTGCACTTGACGAAGTCCTGATGATGGCCTAACAAGCCGAAAGCGCTAGACTAATAATTTAAAATAAGCGTTTGGATTATATTAATAAAATCTTATTCTGCACACTTTAAATAATACTAGTTAACACCTCGGTTTACACGCCTATCACCTTCTTCGAGATAAAGGTTAATAAGTACATTATTTGTAAAATAATAATTCTACGTTTGTTTTAGGATTACACTTGTAATATTCTCGATGCCATGTACACAGATGGAGTCACAGTACTTGGTATGGCAGTCTGGAGTTTAATGGACAATTTTGAATGGGCGTCAGGTTATACGTAGGTTTTGAATAATTGAGTTATGTGCTAGCAAATATGAACTTTTTTTGTTTTAGGGCACATTTTGGTTTATATCACATTGATTTTTATAGTGACCCTACGTTAAAACGAGAACCAAAAAAATCGGTAGGATTCTTCCGTCAATTGATTAAAACAAGAACATTGCCATGTAACAGTACTTCAGAGCCTATTCGTTGGATACATAAGCAAAAATCGAAGAAACATAATTCAAAACACAATTCAAAACATCAAAATTCAAAACATCATAATTCAAAACATCATAATTCAAAACATCATAATTCAGAACATCATAGTGCAGAACATCAAAATTCAAAACATCATAATGCAGAACATCAAAATTCAAAACATCATAATTCAGAACATCATAATTCAGAACATCATAATTCAGAACATCATAATTCAGAACATCATAATTCAGAACATCATAATTCAGAACATCATAATTTAGAACATCATAATTCAGACCATCATAGGTAAAAGTATTAATGCTCACCCTTTGAATTTTTGTAATATATTTTTTAATAAATAATATTGCTATGTAATTACATCGTTTGAATTGAATATTTTATACGCTACGAGATATATTGATATAGTAAATGTTTAAATACCTACATCCTATATCTGTTCGAATTTAAACACTAACGATATATAAGACATAAGCCGGCCCTGTCACATATCAAGATTTAACAAATTAATGGACTTATATGGTATGAAACTATAAAATAAAAACAAAGAAATGTGAGATTAAAGAAGCTCTAACTAAAAGATATTACCAGAGAAATATACTCTTGCAGGCAAGCTGCAAAAGATAGTTAGTTTTATCTTATAATTTATCTGAGACAGACACGTTTAACTAAAAGAAATGTATTGTTCATCTATAAATGAGTCTTCTTTCAGTTGTGACATAGTAAGAAACTGCTGAATATTTACTATTCAAGAAAATACCCCTATGGGTATTACTGCCACCACATTCTCGTTTTCAAAGATTACACAAGTTTGTTAATTGTATTTAACATTAGATTGCCAGTGTACATTTTAAAAAGTCTTGCATATTCGCGATTCAAACTAAGTAATATGCCCTCTGGAGGAAATTTGTAGAAGATCCCTATAAGTAGGATATCGTTCAGTGTTGCCAGAAGTAGCGAAATTTCGCTACGTCGTCGGATTTTAGCCCTTGAATAAGTGGATAAGACCTTTTATTTAAGAATCAAAATTTGTGTCTAGTAATATGTAATTATACTTTATATTTGTTTTACAGCTGAAAAAATGCAAAATATAATATTAGATTGTTTAGCCTCAAAGATTTTTAGTACATTACAAAAAAAAAATGTTTTTTCCTGGACATGGGACTGGCGAAAAATATCATATTATTAATATAAAATTATATGTACCTACAGCTTAAAAATAATTTATTACAAAAATAAAATGTTTTTTCATGGGCATGGGACTGGCGAATAATATCATATTATTAATATAAAATTATATGTACAGCTTAAAAATAATTTAAAACCCACTCACCTCTATTTCAAAATGCACTCGCAATTATAACTTTACTTCAAAGAAGGTTCTTGTATATTATTTAAAATAAATAAACGTTTCTTCCAAATTTGTTGCATTTTTTAAAATCTCAAAATACAAAGATGTGGGCTATCAGTTTAACATTTTGGACAATTGTGTTGCCTACCCTAGTAGTAATTGCATCAAAATGGCCGCGCCCTATGTTGGGCGTGTCGGACGTCTCTCTTGCACCGTATAGTAATCAAAGTATGTGTCTCTTATGCTAAAATGAAAGGGTTATAACTATACCGAAGCCGACGATTTTTTTTAATTGGTCAGAGTTAGCGTCTGTCCTTCATTTGTAAGGTAATTTTATTAACCGACTTTAAAAAAGGAGGAGGTTATCAATTCGTCGCGATATTTTTTTTTTTTTTTATGTATGTTCAGCCATTATTCTTTAACACGGTGTCCGATTTCAATGATCCTTTTTTTGTTAGAAAGGGAGTATTTCAGGGGTGGTCCCATATAAATTTAGTCAAAATCTAATAATTGGGTCCATGAGAAAATCCTCAAACTCTTCATTTTTTATGTATGTTCAGCGATAATTTTGTAACACGGTGTCCGATTTCAATAATTATTTTTTTGTTAGAAAGAGGCTACTGTAGGGGTGGTCCCATATAAATTTTGTCAAAATCTAATAATTGGATCCATGAGAAAATCCTCAAACTCTTCATTTTTTATGTGTGTTTAGCGATAATGCTTTACCACCTTGTAATTACCTTCATCACTGCCTTCGGACATTTTCGATAATGAATATCTTAATTTAAGTATAAATTGACTTAGGCCACTTTCAGAATAAACGGCTCAATTACATACTAATGAATTGTATGACCCTCATTGTGTGTTTCATTGAAAATTCTAGGAGCAGCTCGTTCAGAACTGTTATTTTTGTAGTATATGTTGAAAAATAATTATAAAAATATTTTCCTAATATTTATTTATACCAACTCCTCAGACTATGGTTTTAATTTAATGTGTTCTTATGTTGCTAGGAAATAGTTTTTTTTTATTACTTTAGGTTTGTTCCAACAACAATTTTGGGACCATACATAAACCAGTCCACAACTTATTGTCGACGACTGATAGTCGACGACCTGTCCACGACCTGTCGAGGATTGGGACGCGATTCGGAACTTGGATGTGTTGGAACACATTTTTGTGTTGTCAGACACACTCTGTTAATAACGTCAAAGTAAAGGCAAATTTAACAAATGTAAAATTTTGAATTTGGGAAGTAAAAAAATTATAAAACTCATGGAAAGATTTATAAATTTTGATTATTCGATTTTTAGAGTTGGTGGTGGTTTATTTATGAGCTCACTTTCGTTTTGCGCATATCTTGACAATTCGTTCATATTCACACCCAGGAACTGATTTGACGGTACAGAAACTGGTTTGTGATTAGGTTTGGGTGTGTTGGAACACTAGGTTTTTGTACAGTTTTGAGTCCGAAGTTTGTTGGAACACCAAATCTAGACTGCGCAGAATCCCGACAGTACGGAAACCGATTTGCTATTGTGTTAGAACAAACCTTTTGTTTGATATATTGTATTTTAATTAAGACAGAATAGTTTTCCTTTAATAAAACTCATATAGAATCTATAGTTTTAATTAAAAGGAAAGTAAAGTAAAATCACAACAGGTTATGAGCTCAGCGGAAATAATTGCATAAAAACTGCCGAGTAAAAAAACACGAACTAAAGAAATCAAAATAAAAAAAAATTCTTCATTTTTTAACGTCTGTCAGGTCAGTCACTGCGGAATAAAGTAAAAAGGGTAATGGTTAAAGTTTAAAACAGTAAAATGGCATCTGAAGGAGAAATTAACCAAATTGAGAAACTAACTGACTCAGAAAGTGTTGTTTTGTGGAAATTTCAAATCACCGTAATATTTAAGGCCCATGGATTGTACGAAATCGTCGATGGTGAGAAGAAGTTGGAGCAAATAACCAAAGAAGATGAAAAAACTGATTTCAAAAGAAAAGATGTACGAGCCCAAAAAGCCATAGTAACTTCTGTCGATAAAAAGATACTGATGCATATAATGAACTGTAAAACATCTTATGAAATGTTTAATAAACTATGTAAAATCTATCAGCGGGATACAGAGCAACAAAAGTGTTCACTGTTACAGGAGTTTTTTAACTTTAAATTTAATAAAGACATTGATATTGCATTAAATATAAGCAGACTAGAAAGTCTGGCTCATAGGTTGCATTCGCTAAATCAAAAACTAGAAGACAGTCTTTTAATATCAAAGATTCTTAGTACACTACCTGAAGAATTTAAACATTTTACCACAGCATGGGAGTCTACTCCAGAAATTGAAAGAACAATTACTAATCTTACTGCTACACTAGTATCGGAAGAAATTCGTTACAAAGAACAAGAAGTAGCATTTAAAGCTTCAGAAAATACGAGATCTGAGCGTTAAAATTATGAAAACAAAAAATCACAAAATAAAAACTTTTCCAAAAAATGTTATGTGTATGGAAAACCTGGACATACCGCAAAAGTATGCTACTACAAAAAATCCACCATAGCCTCTACTTCGGGCTGTAACATATGCAAAAAGACAAACCACCAAGAACGTGACTGTTTCTTTAGAAAAAAAGAAAGATCAGATAGCAAAGTAGCATTCCTGGCATATGACAATAAAAATAAAAATGTTGGTTTCATAATAGACAGTGGCTCAACCTCTCACATGGCCAATAACAAAAATTTGTTCCAAGAACTGAAAGTTCAGAAATCAGAAATAAAAGTAGATAAAAAAGATAAAAGTATGAAAGCTGAAGGTCTAGGCATTATAGAAAGTAACACCTGCATTTTAAATAAGGTTCTCTACATTCCCGAACTAAGTAAAAATCCATTATCAGTGAGTTCAATTACGGAAAATAATGCAGAAGTCCTTTTTACAAAAGAAAAAGTAATAGTAACAAAGAACAGTAAAAAAGTAATAGAAGGAGAGAAAACTGAAAATGGACTATATATGATTGATATAGACAAAACACCTCAAGAAAGTTTTTTAACAGAACAAACAAGTATCTAAATGATATAGAAAACTGGGACATTTAGGTATATAAAACATTAAAAAGTTATTAAATATGTCCACTGGGATAAATTTGAAAATTGAAGACTTTGCCAAGATAGATCCAGTATGTGAGATATGCCTCCAAGCCAAAAAGCTAGACATAGAGCTTCGAAAACGCTAGAAATTGTACATACAGACTTATGTGGTCCTATAGATCCTACAACATGGGATGGTAAAAACTATGTTCTTACTTTCTTGGATGATTTTACACACTACTGTATAGTATACATTATTAAAAGTAAAAACCAAGTATTACAACACCTGAAAGAGTATATTCAAGAAGAGAATTTTAGAAACGTAAAAGTCTCAAAAATTCGATTCGATAATGGTGGAGAATTTTTAAATTGCGACCTAAAGACATGGTGTAAAACTAAAGGTATTGTTACGGATTTTACCATATCTTACTCTCCTCAAATGAATGGCAAAGCTGAAAGGCTAAACAGAACTTTATTTGATAAGGCAAGAGGGTTAATTTTTGATTCTAAATTACCAAAACAATTTTGGGGTGAAGCAATGTATGCAGCCACATACCTTCTAAATCGAAGTCCAACATCAACAATTAATAAAACACCTATAGAAGCTTGGACCAATACAAAACCGAACTTATCAAGATTACAACTATTTGGAAGCGATGCATATGCGAAAATTTTGGGACCGAAAAAAAGATCTAAAAAATATATTTTTATGGGATATGCTCCAAGTGGATATAGACTGTGAGATGACGACAAAGCTAAAATAGTGATATATAGAGACGTTATTTTCAAAGATTCCAAAAATATAGAGGAAGATGATGCAACAAAAATAAGATATTTAAAATTAAATGAAAATGAAGATGATGATGATAATGG